ATAGGAGTGGGGAACTTCATGCAGAGGTGAGATTGGGAAACCACAGCTCGGATTTCGGTCAACGTGGGTCGGCCAATAACAATGTTAAAAGAAGAGGCCATCTTGACGACGAGGAACCGAACAGGAGGGGCGACATAGGTCCGACCACTTCCAAAAGCTACATGGAGGGTAAGAACGCCTTCTACTGGAATAGGTTGGTTGTTGAAACCATAGATGGGACCATCATACTTTTGCAACAATGCTGGATCTAGTCCCAGACTCTCGAAACAGTGAAAATACATGATGTCTGGTGCACTCCCGGTGTCAACAAGGACACGTTGTACTTCACAGTTATTGATGATGACAGAAGTGACCAGAGGATCATTGTGGGGTGTAACTACTGTGTCGAGGTCAGCGGATGTGAAAGTAATGGGTTGATTCTTCCATTCAGCATCGTCGATCTTCCGCTTCTGAGCTCGGTTCTGATGCTTAACCTCTCTGACATACAGCTTTCGCTGTTTAGAGCTCAGTCCTCCTGCTTCAAGGCCTCCCGTAATCATATGTATGATTCTAGCCGGTGGTGGAAGCGGAGGTGGGGCTTGCTGATATCCCACACCTTGTCTATTCGGGGGATTGCGGACTCCTGGAGGCTGCGGCCTCTGCTCTCTGACAAACCGCGGCTGTTCAGCTCTCTGCACATACTCGTTCAGCATTCCCTTCTGAGCTAAACTTTCGAGTTCGAACTTTAAGCTGTTGCACTGCTTTGTAGTATGGCCGTGATCTTGATGAAAATCACAGTATTTAGTGTGGTCTCGACTAGCAGCAGCAGCTCGCATTGGGCCAGGACGTCTCAAGTCCATCTTGTTCTTAATCTGCATAAAAATTTGTGACCTCGGTAGATTAAAGGGAGTCCAATTAACCGGAGGTTTACCTGCGGATTGCTGCGGGGGATTTGGGTTCGTCCTTCCGAATCTCGGTGGGGAGGTCAACATTGGACCTCGGCTCTGTGCCATCCTTATTCTTTTTCGGCTCGAATTGTCATCTCTCCATTCTGGGTTCTGGTTCTTAGAGGGGGGTGGGTTTTGCGCCAGGGCATACTCCTCAGCGGTTATAAACTTGAGAGATCGATCATTCACCTCGCTAAAGGTGATGGCAGCATGTTTGATCAAACTATCTCTGAACCTGTCATGCTTGAGACCCGCGATCACAGCGGCAATTCCCACAGCTTCATCAAAAGAACTAACCTCCAAAACTGCATCATTAAACCTGCTCATATAGTTCTTCAGAGATTCTCCATCCCTCTGTTTAACCCTCATTAACTCAGAAGTAGTTTTCCTAATCAACCTTCTACTGGAAAACTTAGTGGCAAAGGCAGATGCCATTTCTGTATACGAGCTAATTGACCTCGGAGGTAAACTGTAATACCAAGTTCGGGCATTACCTCGGAAGGTAGAGGGGAAGATCTTGCACATTAACGCGTCAGAGGCGTTCTGAGCTTGCATGCAGGAGTAGAAAGCATGCAGATGGTCATCGGGATCCTTCGTCCCGTCATAAGTCTCCAGTTGTGGTATCTTGAAGCCAGCAGGATAGGGTTCCAGAGTAATGTTGGTATTCAATGGGTGAGGTATAGAATCAGCAGCATGGTGTGGGGGTGGGGCACCTCGGTGTTCAGCTACTAGTTTTTCCAGGCTATCGAGGCGGCGAGTAACATCATCAGGGATAGGTTGTTGAGTAGGTGCAATATGGGATTGAGCCTGTGATTCGCTGATAACAGGAGCAGGTTGATTTGGTTGAGGATTCTGTTGTGGAGCTGGGGGTTGTTGAGCGGGGTTGAGTAAATTAATTAGGGGATCGCCAGGATTGTTTCTAGCCAAAAGTTGAGCCAATACCACTTGAAAAACACCAAACTGTTGCTGCATGGCAGCAAGTTGGGCTGTCACCACATCTTGGTTGGCAGTGGAAGCTGAGTTATGAGCTGAGGCATGAGGTTGATTTTCATCTCCTCCTTCTGCATGATCAACAGGAGGGAACATAACTGGGGCTTGAGGTGGAAATTGAGGTAGAAGCTGAGGTGGAAGCTGTGGTGGAAGCTGAGTTGGAAGGTTGTTGGGGGGTTGACCCTGCCCATGAGGCAGAGATGAATTACCAGCTCTGACTGAGCGAGTGTAAACCATGGTGGAAGAGCAACTAGAAAACTTTCAGTTCGATTCCCACAGACGGCGCCAATGTAATTGCACCAAACCCGAAGTCCTTCTTCAGTCCGCGCTTACACTTCGGAACGACCTGCAAAGCCCCGAGGTGGAACTCGGGGTAGACACTCCGATGCTTAAGTCAGCAATAATCGGGGCTACCTTTAGGGCGGAGATAAGAAAAGCTTAAGGTTGGTTTCAATTACCTTTTGACGTGGCCCGGAGGGGGTATTTATAGGATTCAATGAGGAACCCACGTGGCATGCCAAGCAAGATAGTCGGAGCCTGACGTGTCTATCCAGACGATAATTCCGGGACCGGGAATTTGAGAGGTATTCAGGTATACGAGCGTCCATCATGCTTGCTGTGCTATTCATCGTAAGGAATCAGGTGCGGACATGCTCATTGTCCTTAACATGCAGCCACTTGTAGCAGTTCGGAGGCTTGGCACCTCGGACCTATCCTTACAGTATGTATCATATTTTAGTCATGAAAAACTATCCCTTCGTTGGCTGAGTCCAAATTGTTTTGCTTTTGTTCAGTTATATTTCTCATCTTGAACTGAAATGCCATTTGATCCCAATTTAGGGACTGTCCAAATGATATTAATGAAGCAGTTTCAAGTCTTATATTTGCCTCTGCAAGATGTGGAGATCTTCCTGAACTTTATGCAATTCGGAGGCTCTTTGAGGAGCGGTATGGCCAGAGGTTTGCAACTGGTGCTGTTGAATCATATCCTGGGAATCTTGTAAACCCTGAGGTTGTTAATTGTAGTATTATGGATACTAGAATTTTTCTATTTACTGAAATAAGGTTTCATCTTTTATTTAACAGAATACATTTTCGAAAAACTTTAAACACAGGTGAAGGAGAAGCTCTCCATAAACTCAGTTCCGGATGATGTCAAACACAGATTGGTTGATGAGATTATTAGAGATTACTGCCTAAGGCCGGAAGGCCTGGGACTTTTGGCAATTGAATACCCTTCGGTACTGCAAAAGCAGGTGACTTGATTGCGTTTTCCTTCATTGTTCCATGACAAGTTTCTTATGTTACTCTACCAACTTTAGTAATAGTCCTTTGTACCATGGAACAGCAGGATGAAGAAAATATCCCAACTTGTGTGGACAAAATTGAAGAATCTCCAGTGCAGAATTCTGATGTCATTGAGATAGAAGAAAACTCCATGTATGTTGAGCCAACCTCAATGACAAAGAGCATTTCAAATGGGCCATTTCATTCTCAATCACTCCAAAATTCCAACGTAATTAGTGCTTCTGTTAGCTGTTCTCTAGTGCAGCAATCTTCACCAGATGTAATGGAGTCACCAGTTATGAACAAAGAAGAGAAGGGGGCGAATTTTAGTGGAGATTCTGGATTTGAGTCCGAAGTTGGTAGTACTGTTGACACTGAAAGCCAAGGGAGTGATAGGAATGTTACAGCCACTTTAAAACATAAGGATAAAAGACTGAAAGCTGTATCTTCTTCGGAAAGTTTAACACAGTTTTTTGGGGAAACATTTGTTTATCTTGATGACATAGAGGAAATTCAGTCTTCCACGACACAAGAAAGAAGCTTCCAGGAGCAGAGACTATTTAAGTTCAAGTCACCTATTCCACCTAAAACTGAAGAAATTATTTCTGAGTTTTCCGATGGGAGATATATGGATCACTATGAAGAAGTGAGTCAGATATCAGGCTCATGGAACTCGTGGAAGAGTAGCAATGACGTTAGAAAAAGATCTAGGAGAAAGTCAATCTCCAGGGAAAGTTCAGTCATGCAGGATACTGATCATGATATCTATTATGAGAAGTCTTCAAGTCACAAGCATAGATCACATAACAGGAGAAAGCTTCAGAACAGTGCAAAGGATCGGAATAGCGCAACAGCAGAAGAAAATGTTCTGTCATCTTATGGACAGAAGATAATGAAGCAGCACAGCTATACAAATAATTGCAAATACAATGCAAGGAAATCATGTTGCAATTGCAGCTTCAACTCTGACGTGAATGACTGCAGCTTGGAACATCCATGTTATTTTTATCCTGGTGATGAAAAGGATGAAAAAGAAGCTCCTCCATGGAAGCAAAAGAGAGGGCTTATAAATCTGGGGCAGTTTCCTACTACTGATTTGGAAGAAAATTCAGGTGACTATTTCTGCCAATCTTCTCGGTATGGAGGATCCAGTAATGAAATGGAATGGACTAAAGTAGAACAAACTGCACTTCCACAGAATCTGAGAAGAAGAAGCTATTCCAATGGCGAAAGCGTACATGTTGTTTTCACCTGGTCCATATAATCAAAGAGAGAAAACAAAAAAACAGTCACAGCTATCTTACTTAAGAACTATGACAATGCCTCAAGAAAGACCTAAACACAGTCAGAAGGACAGCATTTTACGTTCAACTTCATGCAATCTTCAATATCCGAATCATGTCCATCCTAAGCTTCCGGCTTGTGATGAAATAACAGCCAAATTTATGGCTCTCAAGAAGGAATTCATGCAGAAAAAGCTGTGAAGAGTCCAACTCTATTTCCATTACCTGCATATAGGACTAGTTCTTCAATAACAGCCAAATTCATGGCTCTCAAGAAGGAATACTTGCAGAATAAGCAGTGAAGAATCCGATTCTATTTCCATTACCTGCAAATAGGACTAGTTCTTCAATCTTACTTCTACTATCTTGTTTAGAGAATTTTTTTCATTCATTTTTCCTGTTGTATGATATGACTGTTGGCGTATTAATTATTCGATTTCCTTGTAATGAGAACTAAGTTATTTAGATCTTGGATTTGTAATTGCTTAGGTTGTAGAAAATAGTTTTGGGAAAGAGCCCAATCTGCTGCAAATCATTAGGAAAGCATTACCATGACTAAAATGCACCAGGAGATGAAGAAGAAAAGAAATAACGTATTGCAAACGAATTTGGTTTGTTCATTTATGTTCTTTTTACCTAAATGCATTGTAGCACATAAAAGATGTTTTATGAAAAATTGATATTGGGTTTCTGCTTGAAAATTCAGTTTTATTTTGGACTAGTCCTCTACTTTGAAGAGCTTAGAGTCTATGTTTGATATATGTAATTGCACACATTTCATTGATCTGATTTTTTTTTGGTACATCTGAACATTTCATTCATCTGATTTGAGAAACATATCGAAGGAACATAGGTAATTATGGGTAGGGATGGCAATTTCCCTCATTCCCTATGGATCCTGTGGAGATCCCCGTTACATAGACGGGATGGGGAGGAATATTTCTCCCTATGGGGTAAGGACGGGAGGCATTTTTTCTGGTGAAATTACGCGGCGAATTTTCCCCATGCGTAAGGCCTCATGAGGATCCACATCTTTATAAAAAATTTTAAAAAATATATAATTAATTTTATTTTATATTTTATTCAACCCATCATATCAAACTCAAACTCAATCTAATAAAATTTAAACTTAACCCAATTTTACACAACCCAACCCAACCCAACCCAACGCATAAAAATTTAAATTTAACCCAATTTTACACAATCCAACCCAACCCAACCCAACCCATTACTAACCCTAACCTTATTACCTTACTCATCTGATTAGTCATCACTCACTCTAACCTTCCCCTTGCTACCAACTACCGTCGGTGCCAAACTACCCCAAGTTTGTTCCCCTGCAAAAACAGACCATCTATCTACTTATTTTGCTTTTGTTGCTTCAAAAGCTTGAGCATTCAACTGTTTTGCTCTTCTTCATTCATCTCACCAGGTGTTCTTCTGTTGTTTCACATTTTCATCACATCGACCATGTTTTTCTTTTTCCTTTTTGGTTCTATTTGTTGATTTGATTGCTAAATTCATTCTACTTGTTGATTTGATTGTTAAATTTGTTTCTCCGTTGCAAAATTCATTGTTGAATTCTCTATGATAATATTATATTTGAAGTAGATCTACTGGTATGAATGACTCTATTCCTTTTTTCTTTTTTTCTTTTTTTCTGTTTGGATCTGTTAAATGTTAATCTTTGATTAATCCTATATTCAAGCAAATTTTTTGATGCAAAAACTAATGTTTTCTATCCATAAATATGTTAACATGAAATATTTACTAATTGTATTGTAGGATTTTTTATGAGCAAATGTGGATTTTGAAAGATAAGGTGCTTTGAGTTGCCTTCCCTTCATGTTGGAATATGGATGTTGATTTAGTTATTTTATTTATGTTGGATTGATTTTTACTTATGTTTAGAACAATTATCTTCGTTTAACTATTTATATTATATTGATCTTTATTTATGTTTGGAACAAATTTTTTGGTTTAGCCATTTATGTTGAATTGATTTTTATTTATATTTGAACAATTTATATTTGATTTTACATTTAAAGAATTTTAGTTAATTGAACTCGAATTTTTTGAATTTTATTTATTATAATTGAATATTTGTTAATTATAGTAAAAAATTTATATTTTAATATAAATTGGCAAGAGAATGGAGATCCCACTACAAGGAGATGGGTCTACACTGATGGAAGTTTTCCGTCTATATAGACCCATTTTCCGTTGGTATAGACCCCCAGGACTATTCCAACAGACCAATTTTTAATCAGTGGAAACCTCGTTAGTATAGGATATATATCAACGCCTAATCCATCTGTATAGACCCTTGGATCTATTATGATGGAAGATTTTGTCCGATGGTATATACCCTAGGATCTATTCCGATGGAATACTTATCCGTTGGTATAGACCCTGAGAAATCTTAAAAATTTTTCCGTCTGTATAGACCCTCATATTTACAGACAAGTAATTTCATTGGTAAAAACTCAAACATCCGTCTGTATACAATCATAGGCCAAAGATCTATTACGACAGCTTTTTCCATCAGTATAGATCTTTTTTTTTTTTTTTACAATTGATCGTTCAATTCAATTCTATTGTATTTTATTTATAATTTTCTCTACACTTATTTTTTTTCTATATTGACAAATATCATTTGTCAATTTTTTTATAATAAAGAGAAAATTGTATTATTTTCTAGATTTATTATTATTATTTTTAACTCTTGAGTTCAAGTTTGACTAATTCATAGAGTGGAACTTAAATCAAGTTTAACTTTTATAACTTGCAAATTATTCATAAGCTAATCACTCACTAATGCTCTTAATCAAAATTAACTTAACCATTGATTGGTTTATCAGGATGGTCTTCGTCCTGTTTCCTGAAAGTTGTCTCTGTTTTGCTCTGTTTTCATCAAGTAAAACAAAGTCCCCAAAAACAAATGCACTAGTCTCTTGCAATGTAATGAATCTAAACAAATCAACCAAATCAAACCCCACTTCAAAACAAATTTAAGTAAAATTGGAAAAAATCGAAAGTAATTGAATCCAAACAAATTTAAGTAAAATAAAAAAATCAAAAATAATCAAAAGATTATGAGTCTCCTGCAATGTTACCTCTTTGGCTTCTCTGGATCCTTTGTAGTTTCTTTTCCAGCCACTGCACTGTTACTCTTCAACTTAACGAAAAAATTTTCCAAAAAAAAAAAAAAACACATCGATTAACAGAAGAAGCTAACACTTAAATCTGCGACTGTCTTAGAACGCAATCGCAATCGCTATGATATCAAAAAAAAATATTGACTCAGAAATTACAACAAAGCAAAATAAAGAGTAAAACTCATTGTCAGTTTTCTTCGAATTAGCCTTCGATCTAGCACCTTAATCCTGCACGAAAAATAGTCAAAATCAATGAGAATCGTTTAAAGATCAGTCAGAACAGTGCAAACATGACTGGGTCATTGCAACGAGTTACCTGAGAGTTAGGGTTTTTGGAAGACAAGGAGACACGAGTGAGCGAGCGAGAAAGATAAATGGACAAATAGGCAATTCGATTTGGTGTGGTGTGGATCCTGAAATAGGCAAAGGGGGAAAATAAATGGACAAAATAGAGTCCGCGCTTGGGTGGGATTTCAAAATTTTTTTCGCCACGTCAGTAATTCGTGTGCTTTCATGTTATTCACGTAGTTTAATAATTTAGAGGCTTTTGTATATTTCTTTTGTGAAAAATATAAGAGATAATATTTTTGTATAATTATATTTTATTTAGATTATTTATTTATTTAAAATTTGTTATATTGAGTGTAATTATTAATTTAATAATACATAAAAATTGTATAAAAAATTATTTATATCTCTACCTTTTATATCAATATCCTTTCATGTTGCTTGTCTTCTCTATTTTTTTTATATGAAATTTGTTTTTGAACACTTAAATTTATGGAATAACATCTAATTTAATATCTAAATTTATTTTACAATTTCAAACCTCTTGCTACAATTCTCAGTGCTTCTATTGTTGGAACGAATAAGGATCCAAGACAATCACTTCCAAGGTTCAGGGATAAGGCTCTTTGGAAGCAGAAGTTAGTACTGCACTGCATTTCTCTGAGGTAATACAAAGAAATTACTTTGCTAAGTGCTAACTGTTAAATTGGCAACATTTCTCAAGACTTCAGCTGTCCAAACCAAGCTCAAGAACAATACAATTGTAATCAATGGTTGAAAGGGGAAATTAAAGGTTCCAATCATAGCCAAAATCCACATAGACATCCATATGAATCCAGCCCCAAGCATCACATAAGTGGGGTGGTTTAAATCTGTAAATTTGAAAGTAGGTTCCATTGCTTTGATCAAAACCTTGGTACAGAACTTAATTCTCAAACTAACCCAACAAGCATACAAGCCATTACCAATTGCAAAGGCAATGAAGCAAACCCCAACAGCATCTATGATAGGTCTCTGGAAGCAAACCAAAAGAATTCCAACCGACAAACACATAACAAAGGAGCTCCAAAGTATGAAATGAATCATGAAATGAGGCCATTGCCTCACTGCCTTTTGCCAAGCAAATGCAAGAGATATGCTCAAGAGCGATGCAGCTTCAACTTGTGGCAGCAAATATTTAAGTACCATTTTCTCCATTTGTTTTACTAACGTTGGTGCTTTAATTAGCCCTTGAATTCCCCTGAATATGAGAAAACATTCTAGCCCAATAGCCACAACCATATGTAGCATGAACAGAAACAAAGATATTTTGATATCTAAATTTATATAATTTAATATCTAAATTATAGGTTTGAATCTATAATTTAATATCTAAATTTATCAATGAAAAAGTCTACTTAATTAAACTCAACAGCAATAAAGCAATTATTGAACCTTGTTGGAGATGTCAAGGTTTTCTGTACCATAAAACCAATTACTTCAATCATCCAATAATTACTAAGAAAGTTTCCAAAGATTGGTAAAGTACAAAAGTAAAAGAAAATCAGAGATACCAATACACAGATATATTTCTACTTGTATATTCTAAAAATATTTATATTTTTACATAGTATTTTTGCCTCCTTATTTTAATTAATACTAAATTAAGCATAAATTATATTAAAATTCCTAGAAATCATCTCAGTAACAAATCTGAAAGATGAAACAAAAACTCTTCAAAAATCCACGAAAGAAAGCTTAATCTCCAAATTTGTAGATCATATTATCAACAAACAAAACAGAAACACCAGATCTAAATGAATTTCCAATGAAAAGCAACGTAAAACTTCTAATACTTCACGAGAATCCCGTATCAATGTAAAATTGTCCAAAAGAAAATGCATCTACCAAACTAGAAATTCATTAGTCTTTAAACTGTCAAGTAGGGAGACACAAACATGCCTTTCAATCCCTTTGCCCATCATTTTCTTCATTACTTTCATTTTGGCGAGACAAAAGGTGATGGCTTGATTGTGAAGAGGAACGATTATTTGGGGAAAAGCCTTGCCCGCTATTAGCATCCGAAACTTACAATTCAGTAGAAAGTAATTAAGTGATAACTAAAATTTTAAAAATTCAATCAAAAGAAATAAAAAAGAAAAATAGATTTTAAAGATTAAACTTAAAAAATAGTGAAACCCGAACGAAGAGGTATAAGTAAGTATGAGATAGCTCTTGACGGGCCACATGTGCCTATTGAAAAATAAAATTCAATGAGTATAGATTTGAAATGAAAATTGAA